TGCGGGCCACCAGCCTGGTCGCCTGTCAGCAGGAGTGCAAGCGGGCCGGCTGCAACACGCTCAGTTACAAGTGGGTCCAGCAGCTGGCACCTGCAGTCACGGCCTGCCCTCTATGCTAATTCGATTGTCCTGTTCCGAGGTGAACGCCGAAGTTGGAGGTGATGACAGCCGGTGGGCTCGACCGATTGCTGATTACTCCAGCGCAGTTTGTTTAGCTCCCAATACGTGACGTTTTTCTGTTTTGTAGGGTATGTTTACACGCTCAGACAGTTGGAATGGATGGATGGAATGAGTGGGCTTCGCCCGTTTGTCTGTTTGGTTGCAGACTGACTACATTCGCGGCCGAGATGAACTGTCGGCTGAGCCGCGACCTGCTGACGTCACGTGACCTCATCTCGGACGCCGAGCATGACACCTATAATCGGCAGGACAACCCGCGCTGCGATGACAGCGGTGGTCCCGGCCCTGGGCCCGGCCCTGGGCCCGGCCCGGGCCCCAGCGGTCCTGGCAGCCTCGGTAAGAGAGCACCCACTTACTCCAGCTCCCATGGTTTGTTCGTTGAGGCCACGTAATGCAGAATAGCATTGGCCCCCTGAAGTCGTTGGTGAAGGCATTCATTTCCGCTTCGCGCTAGACCTCGGTTGCACGTGGGACTGGGGCTATGCAATCCAACGACAACAAATGTTACTTGCACTTTGCACTTGCACTTGCACATACTTGCACTTGCACATACTTGCACTTGCACTTTAATTTGTACAGCCTTTTCATCCTGCAGCTGAAGGTTGTAATTGCGGAGGTCCCCAGCGATATTGTCTGCTACTTCTCGCCGCAGAATCCCAATTCCGAAAATTGGAATATTCGAAGGAAAAACATCCTCCAAACCCAGATAGTGACTGCGGGCCTTTTCGTCAGTTTTGATCAGGAATATTTGCAATACCAGTCACGTCCTCTCCGTCCGCATACCACCGCCCTCTCAGCCAGCTGTAGCTCGCAGCATACCCCAGTCCCCCCAGCCTGCTGTAGCTCGCAGCATACCCCGTCCTCCCAGCCTGCTGTAGCTCGCAGCAACCCCCGTCCCCCCAGCCTGCTGTAGCTCAGCAGCATACCCCGTCCTCCCAGCCGCTGCTGTAGCTCGCAGCATACCCCGTCCTCCCAGCCTCTGTAGCTCGCAGCATACCCCGTTCCTCCCAGCCTGCTGTAGCTCGCAGCATACCCCGTCCTCCCAGCTGCTGTAGCTCGCAGCATACCCCGTCCCCCCAGCCTGCTGTAGCTCGCAGCATACCCCGTCCTCCCAGCCTGCTGTAGCTCGCAGCATACCCCCGTCCTCCCAGCCTGCTGTAGCTCGCAGCATACCCTGTCCTCCCAGCCTGCTGTAGCTCACAGCATACCCCGTCCTCCCAGCCTGCTGTAGCTCGCAGCATACCCCGTCCTCCCAGCCTGCTGTAGCTCGCAGCATACCCCGTCCTCCCAGCTTGCTGTAGCTCGCAGCATACCCCCGTCCTCCCAGCCTGCTGTAGCTCGCGGTATATCCCTTTCTCTCACCCTGCTGTAGCTCGCAGTATACTCCGTCCTACCAGCCTGCTGTAGCTCGCAGCATACCCCGTCCTCCCAGCTTGCTGTAGCTCGCAGCATACCCCCGTCCTCCCAGCCTGCTGTAGCTCGCGGTATATCCCTTTCTCTCACCCTGCTGTAGCTCGCGTATACTCCGTCCTACCGCCTGCTGTAGCTCGCAGCATTACCCCGTCCTCCCAGCTTGCTGTAGCTCGCAGCATACCCCCGTCCTACCAGCCTGCTGTAGCTCGCGGTATATCCCTTTCTCTCACCCTGCTGTAGCTCGCAGTATACTCCGTCCTCCCAGCCTGCTGTAGCTGGCAGCATACCCCGTCCTCCCAGCTTGCTGTAGCTCGCAGCATACCCCCGTCCTCCCAGCCTGCTGTAGCTCGCGGTATATCCCTTTCTCTCACCCTGCTGTAGCTCGCAGCATACCCCCGTCCTCCCAGCCTGCTGTAGCTCGCGGTATACCCCTTTCTCTCAGCCTGCTGTAGCTCGCAGTATACTCCGTCCTCCCAGCCCGCTTTAGCTCGCAGCATACCCCCGTCCTCCCAGCCTGCTGTAGCTCGCAGCATACCCCCGTCCTCCCAGCCTGCTGTAGCTCGCGGTATATCCCTTTCTCTCAGCCTGCTGTAGCTCGCAGTATACTCCGTCCTACCAGCCTGCTGTAGCTCGCAGTATATCCCTTTCTCTCAGCCTGCTGTAGCTCGCAGTATACTCCGTCCTACCAGCCCGCTGGGAGGACAGGCATGCAGCTCGCAGCATACCCCGTCCTCCAAGCTCGCTGCAGCATGCAGCATAACCTGTCCTCCTCGCCTGCAGTAGTTTCTCGGCGGACTCGGGTCGGCGGTAGCTGGCGTCGGCCTAGCCGGTCCCGGTGACGGAGTGACGCAGGGCGCCACTGACGCGGTGATGCAGGGTGCCGGTGACGCGGTGACCCTGGCTGCCG